TGCGAGATTTTGGTGGAAAGTGGCTGTTTTCGGTTGGGAGGTGGGGTCCGAAACGAGAGTTCCTGGTTGAGTGGTAGGGTCATACGAGGGTTTGCAGTTAGGATGCATTAAATCCAAATTTTAAAAACACTCGTATAAAACATTATTTGTATATTTTAAAATCAACATTTAACCCTTATGAACTTAATAAAATAAATAAAACTTAGTTTTTATTTAGAGGGTTTGATTTTTACTGACTTTTGTTGAATTTTATTGACTTGAAAATAACGGGTTGTTACACGCTCGAACCCCAACTTGATGCGTGTACATAAAATTAAGTACAGGACATCATATATAGCCTAGCAAACGCTATAAGTACTGGATTAGGGGACTTGATAACATGCCCCCTAGCACGGGCTAGAAGTTGTGCTCGATCGCACTAAAGGCACCTCAAGGCAGGCCGCTAGGCCAAGCTACTCCTAGCATTTCCGCCCCGACAAAGTTTCACGCCCGCGGGCGTGCCTCTAGATCTGGACGCCCGCATGGAAGGTTTAGCCCTTAGCGAGTGCCTTCCACTCCGCGAAAAACCCAACAACTTCAAGCGACAAGGAGTATGCTCAGAGTCTTACCACCTGAACCAATTGTTAGCTCTGGCACTATGAGGATCACAAATAACCAATCAAGGCATTCGATCCTGTCAGATCTTAAGTCCTTGTCCCTCGTACGGACTCGTAGGAGGTCTCAATATAAAAGGCCTCCTCCGCCACCTCAAACGATAAGCTGCTCCCTCCTAGCTCTTACCATACACTCTTAGTTTAATCACTGACTTGACTGTCGGAGCATTTTCCCCGGAGTTCCTCCTGGAGAACAGTTGACAGCTCTTCCTTGTTGCGACCTCATAGGTCTCCCGAAGCAACCAGAAGTACCTTGCAGCTACCAAGAGCCATCATATCAATCAACCGGAAGACCAGGTCGCATCAAATATAAATATAAGTTACACTTAAAGCGTAGTAAGTGCATATTAACTTACAGAGTTTATAGCGAATAGTCAGAAAGTCTTGGGAAAGACCTCGACCCAAAAGCTTCATTTTACCGGCTCTCTGGTCACTTAGAGTCTTGCCAAGCTACTCCAAAATCTAGGAAAAAATCTGACTTAAAGGTTGGAAAAATTTGAGAGAAAGGGTTGAATTTTTTGAGCAAAATGAAAAAATCTGTCATTTATTTATAGGCTGTCCAGGGGGCGTGCCACGCCCTAATCCGTAGGGATGTTGCACTTTGTCGATGATGCTCCTCCCATTTTGTTGCCATGTGTCATCATTTCTGTGGTCCACATCACCTGGTCTGCCGGAGGAGGTACTCGTCCGACAAGGCTACATGGTTCCCTCTGGGTGGTGCCACATCATCACTTATGTAGGTAAAGTTTCCAATATTCTAAATATTATGACTTTTGCACACAAGCTCCGTTTCCGACCTTCTTCATATACACACATTCCTATCAATGAGTACTACAACTTTCCTTTATATTTTGTTGGAAAATTCTAATTTCATTTTAAAGTTCAGTCTATGAAGATTACACTATAAAAGACCATGAAAAATTTATAACTTCTTCATTCGAACTCCATTCTCAATATTCTCTATATCGAAGATTTCGTATTTACGAGTACTTCAACTCTCATTTACATTGTTTTGGCTAACAATCAACTGATTTTTATTTTGATTTTTGTTCCAGATACTTATTGTTGTGATATGTCCTCGAGGATTAACACCGTCTCGTAATGGTTCCAACTGGGTTGAGCCCTGTAATCATAGAAATGAAGAAGTAACATCAGTCGACGTCTGGGAGGTGGTCCCGGGACGAAGCTTCGATGATGCAGTTAGTATGAGTGTATGTGTGGGAATATGGAGATTAGGGTTTTTGTGAGAAGAAAGCGGTCCCTTCCACTGGAGGAGAAGGATCCCTTTTATATACGCCTTTGTCTGAGCATGATTCTAATAATATCTTTTATCTCGTCTGGGCCGACAGGACGTGGAGGAGTCCCATTGGTGGATCGTGCACAACTAGTGATCATATGTTATTGGTGTAGAGGAGACAAAGGAAAATGATATGAACGTTATACTTGTCGTCCTAGGAAGTGACCAATTGTGTTTTGGCTTATTATAGATCGGAGATCATCATTTGGAATTAGACTTGGGCACGAGAGTTCCAAGTACCAAGGTCCTAGTGCGAGACCACTAGGGCGAGGGCCAGGGTCAGGCACTAGGTCAGGAAGCGAACGTTAACTAGGTCGTCCTAAAGATTACAGTTCTATTATCTTTAACGTATTCCTAGGGGAATACGTTAACAATTACCCTAGGCTAGTAGGCATCTGTATTGGCATAGCGTAGCTGATTTGTTTTAACCTTGATCAGGACACGTGTTCGGTAGAGATGGTCTAGATGTTTGCTGATGTGATGGAGCCGTCAGCACATGCGGTTTCATCATGGACACAGTTTGATATTCCCGCTCCTTATTTAAACTTTCATTATCAGGAAAAATTTCTTTTTACTCTTTCGTTCTCAACTATTTCTGACTTTATTTGATTACTCTTTTCTTTCTTGTTTTTTCATTAAAAAAACAATGACGGCACCATGATCTTGAATTGGTCCGACACTAGAAGAGTTTGAGGCTCTGCAACTTGGCTTCGGTTTCATGTCGGATCATGGAGTGCAATTTCTGAGAGAAGGGGCATCATCATTCGGCCGCCGCTAGTCAAAGTTGAAGTCCTAGTCCCATTCTTTGAAGCGGGGTTGCGGTTGCAGACAAATGATTTCTTTGATGAAATCATGCGCCAATATGGCTTCTCCGTGGATGATTTGACCCTGAACGCTGTGAACAAGATCTTGGGGTTCGAATTGGCTTGTCGAGCCGTTGGCGTTCTTCCCCAATTTGGGGCGTTCAAGGCTTACTTCAACTCATCCACATAGTTGTGTGTTCATACCTTCTCTCAGAGGTGAAACATCCATGAATTCATCATCAACCAGAAGGCTCCCAAGAAGAACTGGCAGGACAAGTGGTTGTCGGTCAAGAGCAACCTGGTTGGTTATGGTTATCCACGAATGACCACCTTCTCTGAACTGGCGTCACAAATGTGGGGTGACAGTTTGACCATGGCGCAGATGTTGAAGAGTATCTGCATCGTCGGTAAGGATTGGGAGGATTGCATCCTGGCGGTAGCGGGAATGAGCACCGCCTGGTGGGCCCGGTGTATGATGCCCCAGTTATATGTGGAAAAGGATGGTAAGTGCTCTTCTCCTCCCCCCTTTTTTGCTTTTTTGTTAGATGAAATGGGGTGAATAACTCATTTCTTGTTTGTATTCGCAGGTATCGAAAGGGTGTTATCCCTTGGGATGGTTCTGCGGGGAAAGTACAAGGGCGATCTGCATTAAGATGAGGTATCCTTGGTGGAGATCCTTCATCCAACCGTTAGTGTCGATCTGGCGCTAGCGCTTGCTACTCCTTCTGCCGTTAGGGGTGAGGGATATGCCACTCAGGCTGACCCTGGTTTGGTGGATGCACCTGTTGGTGGTGTTTCCCGTAATGATCCTCCGCCTTAGACCTATAAGGATAAACCATCAAAGGAGGCGTTGATCGGTGGCATCCGTGTAACCACCAATCGGCAGATAACCTGGATGGACTCCCCTCTTACGGAGGATGTTGGTTCCAATACCATTGTTAGGTGCCTTCACTAGAATCATAACATTAAATTTTTGCTGGGGGGGGGGGGAGGTGATCTCCTCGACGGTGGTGAGTTTGGGAAGAAGTCGGAGGTTGACCTCCAAACTACTCCTAGCTCTACTTCATCTTCGATGAGATACAACACTGTTTATGGCAGCCCCCCCTACGCCACTGGTGGCTCCCAACATTTATCTCCTTGACTGGACTCTCATTCATGGGTCCCTAATCACACAACATGTTGTTGCGTATGAGTGGAGTCGTCATGCATTCCCTCTAGCTATAATAGAAGAACTGGAGCTCCTCTCCAACTCCCAAATAGCGAATAACCTTCAGTACGTGGCGGCCCAGGTTGCCTCCTACTTGGTGGCTGCGGCTAGGCACCTACGTCATGTGAGCTCGGATTTAGCTGAATACACAACCGTCAAAGTTGAGTGCGACATATTAAGGGGGGGGGGGAAGGTATTGGGCCTCGAGGAGGAGAAGTGCAATTTCGAAGAATAGTATGACCTGTTGGCTGGGGACAAGACTTCAGTGAAGGACCAAGTTCCAAGCTTGGATGGAGAGGTGGAGCTCCTGTTGTTGACGTATCTCACCCGGAGTAACGTCAAAGGATAATGGGGCCATCAACTCAGGAACGGCCCATCAAAAACCTATTACCCGACAGGAGCTGGGAGCAGACCATAGTCCACAAGACCCCGCGGCCTAGCACCGACGATCGGGCCTCGGGATTGGACCCTTCTAGGAGAGAAACTCCCGTTCCAGATGAGACAAAGGAGTACCAGTTGCCCCAGAGCCACAGGTATAGTTCCCAGTGGTCTGCCAACTGGCCGTTCTACACCAATAGCAAATAGCCACCCGCGGAGAACGATCTAACAATCAAAGGCCGCCTCGTCCTGCCATTCCTGAAAACGTAGAAGATACTGTCGGGGATCTGTTCCCTCGACCACATGTATAAAAATTTCCCTTCTCCCCTAAGTGAAGGGATCGACTAAAAGAAAACTCAGTCTCATACCTTCCATAAAAAAGACATCTTCTCAAAGAATTCACTAACTTTACCGTCGGAGCCTCGTTTCGGGATCACCTCCCGGACGACTTCTGACGATCTTGTTTTCTTTGCTGTGATTTTCAGGCTTATCCTTTTCACCCCTCGAGGAGAAGGAGTTAAGTTGAAGACATATCACAATAGTTGGCGCCATCCAGACGTGCACTCAGCACTGCACAACCCAACTAAAGACATTAGGCGTCAAAAATAACAGACAAAGGACCCATATAGTTGGACGGTGGTGACACCAGCCCAGTCAGACCAATGCAGTCCCTCGATGGGAGCGTTCCATCGATGCTGGAAGGGCAACCACCCACACAAATGCAGATAGCACCGGCAACTGGGTCCGCAGCGGAGTTTATTGTCAATTTATGGCGACCGCCGCCTGTCACAACGGAACACCCGACCACGAAACCTACCACATCGCCTCAAATAGCGCCAACCAACCTATCACAACCAATAGCAAATCGACCCCCTAACACCATTGCGAGAGGTGGGAAACATCATCTGGTCCCCTGCTACCATTCTACCGACTACGCAACTGCCGTCCACAGGTCATCAGTCTTCCCTGATGGCCAACATGTCGCACATCCCGTTATTCGCACAACAACCAATGTTCAACCCATACTCATACCACTACCAAGGCGCGTACCCCCAAACAACGCAGTCGCAAAGTCACAACAGTCAAGGCACACCAGTGCACGAGATGGGCTCACATACTACAGGGTAGGGGTGTTCACGGTCCGATTTTTTCGATTATTAGCTCAAATCGAAGTCAAACCGTTAGTTACGGTTTTTTTCAACCGGAAACCGAAGCCGAACCGTTTAAAAATTAAAACCGAACAAAACCAAACCATTACTAACGGTTGGGTTCCGGTTTGATTTCACGGTTTGGGATTTTTAGGCCCATTTTAGTCGAGTCCATTAGATTTTAAAAAAAAACTGCAATATTGTTACAACAACAAAAAATCTGCCAAATATTGTTAAAAAAACTGCAATATTGAAGCTGTCAAAAATAGTATAAATTCTGTCAAATATTGTTAAAAAAAATTGAAATATTAAAGTTGCCAAAACTGCCAAAACAGTAAATAAAAGCAGTAAATGAAAACAATAAACATTGTTCTATTACATCAAACATTTGTATCGATTCATGCAACCTAAAAACCATCCAAAATAGTGAATAAAAACTGCAAATATTGTTCCATTACATCAAACATTAGAATAATACACACAAAACAACAAATATTTTTCCATAAAATGCTATCCACTTCCAAAATGCCGTCCAATTCATAAACTTTTGCTGTCCAAAAAAGTCAATATTAAAAGATCACATCAAAAATTCAATATAAAACCATGAGAAGAAAAGTACATTTCAATCGATATTGTCGGTGCAAATATCTAGTTAGAAATTAGGATTGTGCTGGAGCAGTTAAATGTCGTGGGTTTAAATTTTATTATATAATATCTATATATAAAAATTAGTATGTAATATAACAAAATACAATATTATATATATATATATATATATATATATATATATATATATATATATATATATATATATATATATATATATATATATATATATAATCTCTATGGTCCGGTTTTTATACGGTTTGAAATCTTAAAAACCGTAAGCCAAACCGTTCACTATGGTTTGAAAATTTCAAAACTGCAAGCCAAACCGTAAAGAAAAATATAAACCGTAAAACCAAACCGATGACCGGTTTGGCCTGTTTCACGATTTCAAACCGAACTGCGATCACCCTACTATGGGGCCAACGGAGTCAAGTTCACAACCGAACCAACAGATGCACACATACTCCATGCAGGCACCATATATACCACAAGTCCACAACTAACCATGTACAACCACGAGTACCAATACATGTATCGTGAAGGATACAAAAACCCATACCACGTATAACAGGTGATGGCCGACGGAACATTCACCGACCCACACATCGACAACCGAGGTACGAGCATCATCTCGACATTTTGCCAAGAACTCTTACAGTACGAAATACCGCATTCCGCCATGATCCCAAACATTCCAAAGTATGACAACACGACAGATCCTGATGAGCACATAGACACCTACGAATGGACAATGACATCACTACAGATGGACAAGAGGTTTACCTGCACTTACTTCCCAGTTACGCTGTTAGGAAATGCTAGCAAATGGTTCAAGGAACAGCGTCCGGGAATATCTACATGTGACATCCCCAAATTTCTCGGCCAGAAAAGACCGATTTAGTTTATGCTTTTAAAATAAAATCAGAGTAATCTTCCAAAAGATGTTGTGAAATTTGTCCCCAAAACAAAATTTGATAAAAATTTATCAAAGCATTTCTTAAAGAAATGTATTTTCATTATATAACAAAACCTCGGGATGTCATGTTCCGATACATATCAAAAGCATAAACAATACATTATAAGACCTACAACATATATTTACATCTACTGGCCTATAATCCAAAATCCCTCGTCATCATCCAAATTATGCTCTGGGTCCACTACCTGTAATACAGAAAACTGAGTGGGTCAGGCTTAGGAGCCTAGTGAGCATATAGGGTTTTCAACCCACAAATAATAATAAATTTATTAATTTCATCAACCAACAATAAATTTATTAATTTCATCAACCAAAAATAACCCTGATTACCTGTTCCCGTTATCCTCACTTTACGTCCCTAAACATCTATCATAAGGGACCTAGTCTAAGGATTTTCATCGGGGTGACAACCCTGCTTTAAGGATTCCTTAGTAATTTATGTCAAATAAGGCAACCATGAGGGGGATGGAGTATAGCTTTGAACACTAAGTTCACAAACACCTACAGGTTGCGAGCCTGCTAGCTTTCCACTGGACTATCTAGAAAGGTCCATGGTCGTCATCTATACTCCTCTAGATGACTGAAACAACAACAATATCGAGGCCTCTCATCATTTTAACACACATCAACTATTTCATCTACCGATGTTTTTACCCAACATATTTGTAGATAAAATACATATACAGTTTAAAACTTGTATAAAACATCTATTCAACACCCATCTCAAATAAACAAATAATATAATTACACATAACACGTATCTTATAGAAAATACTTCAAATCTATGTGTAAGATGAAAGTGACTACACACTCACCTTAGTAGCATGACTGGATAGAATCTAACTAGACACTGTCAGCAGTTAGCGATCGTCGGCTTGGGAAAATAGCTCAAATTCAGCAATACAGGAGAGAGGTTGCGTTTTTGTGTAAACCGAAACAAGAGGGCTGACCCTCTATTTATAGGCTGAAAAATCGACTCTCACGTCGTGAGCCCAGTCCTGATCATCTCGTAGGCTTGCCGCGTGTCTTCTAGGCTTGAGAGGTGTCGATCAACTACCTCACGTCGTGAACCATACTTGCTCACGTCGTGAACCATACTTGCTCACGTCGTGAGTTTGGTCAGACCTCGAAGTTTGTGTTCCGAACTTCAAAAATTCATATCTTTCGCATACGGGCTCCGTTTTTGACGTTCTTTATATCCACGCATAGCTGAAATTATGCTCTACAACTTTCGTTTTGACTATGTCGGCTAATTTTGACTTTATTTTTAAAGTTATATTTTTAACAAGCCGAGACAGGAAAAGTCCGTTAAAAATTCATAACTTTTTCATCCGACGTCCGTTTTCGTCTGTCTTTTTATCGTTGAAGTACTATCAACAAGATCTTCGCTTCTCGTTTAGGTTGTTTTGGATAAAAATCACTCGATCTAAAATTCGAGTTTCGGGCCGCATACTGCTAAGCCGAAACTTAGAAAAATCATAACTTCTTCATACGAAGTCAGATTTGGGTGTTCTTTTTATGAACGATCTCGGTTTAACAAACATTACGACTTTCATTTAGATCGCTAAGGCTAAAAATCACTTTATCTTAACTTCACCTTTTTCGTCACACAACGTCGTGCCGGTTCTGTCGCGAAACTTCGACAGGTCATAACTTCTTCGTTATAACTCGGATTTCAGTATTCTTTATATCTCCGGAATCCTTGTTTCAATCACTACAACTTTCTTCATAGATATCAGCTTCATCTAACATTTATTTTCGACGCTTATTTTTATTCCTTAACTTATTAAATCATAATAATTAAGTATAAAACACATAATAATCAAATAATACATCTTATTATTTCAAAACAAGTTACAAAGGTTGGCCTAGAGTATTACATCATCTTTAATGCCTAGCCTAGAAACACGGGCGTTACACTACAACTTTGAACAATTGATATATCTTTTCCTCAACAATTTTATGCAATTAAGGAAAATCAAAGGAGATGTCAACTCCATTTTGTCATGCAAACGAAAAGAGGGAGAGTCCATCCGAGTGTACTACGACCGGTTTACCATCGCAGCTGTGAGCGTCCCCGGTCATGAGGAGTTTCTAGTCACATGCACTTTCGCCCAAGGGTTGCTCCCAGGCCCCCTACCGAGGAAAATTCAAGGAACAGTCCCAAAATCTAGGGACGAGCTGAAGTATAGGGTTGAAAAGACAAATCGAGGGGGAAGAGCGCAAAGAAGTCAACATAAAAGTCGTAGCAAACACACACCTCAAACAAGAATCAACTGACTCCCACTCCTGCCATAGTCACAAGTAGCGTCAAGATGGAAGTCACGATAAACATAACAGACATTCGAGACATTCATCCCATAGGTTTTGCCCATTCGTTAAGGACGATCCCAAGAGCCATAGGCCGGAAATCCACACTGCAGAAAAACCAATTAGCGGGTGGAAAAAGAAAAAAGAAGTATTGCGAATACCACAAGGGCAAAATCCACGAAACCGGGGAATGCACGATCCTCAAAAGGGAAGTAGCGGACAAGCAATTGAATGGAGACCTTGCAGAGATCGCGAAGACCCTACGATCAAAATTCGAAGCCGAGCAAAAAGACGTGCAAACCCGGAAGGAAGCGAATAAACAACCAATAAAAAGGAAGAGATCTTCACAATAGCGAAGCCCCGGAACAGTGCTAGGCACTAGTCGGCGGACAATAGCATCGGTGCCCTACCTGGCGATACTCTGAAAATAAGTTTCTTACCGGGGGATCTGCGAACGCCTGATTGGGACCCCACAGACCTAATCATAATCTCTGCCTACATTTAACAACATCAAATCTGGCTAGCCTTGGTTAACGGTGGCAACAACATCGACGTCCTCTACGAGCACTGTTTCGAACGAATATCGTCACCCTGGAAAAGAATCTGAAACCACCGACCTGAGCCCCACTCGTCGGCTTCACAGGACACAAGTTGTGGCCGCTTGGGACCATAAACCTACCATTGAAAATACTCAGACACGATGGGAAGTAAAAGGTAAAAAGGATAACTGAATTCTCAGTAGTAAAACACAGGACCAATGATGATATGATCCTTGGGCGGACAGCCCTTTTCCGGCTCCAAGCCATCCCTTCAATAATAAATGGTATAGTAAAATTCAGGACCCCCAACGGCTCGAAAACAGTGACCGCCCTCAACCCACAGGCAAAGCTACAATGGGCGATCGCCGCCTGGGCCACCGTGCACTTTCCAAAAAGGCAGCACAGAACAAAAACCACCACCCAAATCCATGACAGGAGGAAAAATCAAAACCCCCCATACAAACAACCCGGGGGGAGAAGGGCGCGATAGCAACAACATTACCACACCAGAAACATCGAGGATAGTCAAAATAAACACCAAGCGAGGCTCGATACCGCTAAGTCTGCCAATGTGCCGTCGCACGACGAAAGACCAGATAACAGAAAAAGAGGAAACAACGGGGCATAAGCATGAAGTCCCGCAGCTTGACCAAAAATGCAAGGGAGAAATCGCTAAAGCTGGAACAACGAGGATAGGTAATTACCCCAGGATGGAAGATGACGACAGGAGGCCCACCATAACCGTAAGGGTACACAACTAGAAAAGGCTACTTTCAGGACGACATCTAGTCGGGAACCCCGCAAACAATGGAAGGAACATCGAGCCATAAAGGAGCCAAAGGGTCATAATAACGCAAACACACATGCCGAACAAGACGAACTCATTCCTAGAGGATAACCCGGTAACCAGAACCAGGGAGTGGAGAAAATTGAAGATCATCCTCCGAAAGACGACCAAGCCAAAAAATAGAAAATCATGGCCTGCGCGCGAGCACAAACACTAAAGACCTCACAGATACAAGCCGCCAAGAGATACAAACCAAGAAATACCAAGAAGAAGAATTCGCTCCGATAGCCTGGGAGCCCTTGAGCCCAGACCAACAAGCTTAGAACGGGGGAGGGGGAACCCAGGGAAAGGGCCAAGTGATCAAACTCCTAACGGATAATCAGGCCCCAACGAGCCAGCCCATGAGCTAGGCCTAGAATAGCACCAACTACCCCACCCCCGATACCTGTCTAACGATGTAGATGTCTCTAAGACACTAGAAAACATTCAATGAAAAGTAAAGATTTGAAACACACGTGTATTAACATGCATTCATACAAATGGAAAACAAAGACGGACTGATTGTCCGTGCCATTTACATGAAACCATTGCAAAAAACACAATCATAGGCCTCAAAGGTTCGCAACCTTTCCCTAATAAAATTCCGCTCTAGCTAAGGACGATGAGAATTAGGATGTGGGATAGATAGAGGCTATGAAGGGTCATTACCTTCGCCTCGCAACCAAAAAAATATCTAAGTGTCAAAGCTCCAGGATGACAATCCCGGCACAGCCTAGATAATCAAACCTGGAGACAGGGGCCCCAGGAGCCCAAAACTCCAAATAAAAGTCTAAAAGAAAAAAGAGGGGAAGAGAATTAAGGGGAAACAACCAAAACGGCTAACCCTCGCTTAACGGTGAAAATTGCTTGCCAACCACTCACCTAATACAAATTTAAACAGGAACAATAACACATAATAACATTCCTGGGACATTCCAGGGTCCAGGAAAGAACTCAGCCCCGGGTTGGTCAACATAACCCCCCCAGGAATCAAACCAAATAAACCACAAGTAAATCACAAACAAAGTACAAAGCTACGTTTTTTTCAGATAATAAAACGAATTGTCTATCGAATAGATCCCAAGCTTAGAAAAAGACCACGCACGGCCATTCAAAAAAAAATGGGCATTGTCAAAGCTGTTCACCAAATAAAAACCATCCCAAAGAAAACATTGTTTGAGTCTCACCAAGCAAAGGTAATTCACACATAACAAGGGAGATATCAAAGATTACATACCTGGGGCAGGGGCGGAAGGTCCGACCCCAGAAGTACTTCCTTCAGGGAATTCACGTTCAACATCTGGGTCACTGCACAATAGGCGAAGACCTTCCATGTCGAGATCGCCAATGTTGAGGTAGGAGGCGAAATCGGTCTCCAAGAAAGATTTCACCTCAGCGTGCATGACTTGGGTATATTCTAGAAAAGCGCTCGGGTCGCCAGGTGCAAACTTCCTGGCAGCAACCTGCTCCCTGATTACCTGCTTGCCATCCTCTACCCCGTCTGCCATACACACAACCTTCATTTGCTTAATCCCAAGTATTAAGTCGGAGCTCTCAATTGTAACATTCATAAAAATTCACAAAAATTTAAAACTTTTTAAACAATCCAAAACCATTATTTATTACAAAATGTTTTCAAACTAGTTTCATATCAGAGTATCCCGGAAATCCAAATCAAAATATGAGAAAGTGTACGGTCACGCCTTCGCCTTCCCGCGGTCATCCGCTGTACCTGAAACAATAATCGATAAATGTAAGCTCGGAGGCTTAGTGAGTTACCCCCAATATACTAATACATAACACATAGCACATATACAATAATAACAGTAACAACAACATGCAATGGGTCTATAGCTACATAGACTGGATTACCCCTAAGCCCACAGTATGAGTCTGGTATGCCCACCCCGGCCCTCAGCACATATCTGGTCTGCTCTCGAGCCCACATCATAAGTCTGGATTGCCCTCGACCCACAGCTTATGTCTGGCTTGGTCCTTCAGTCCTCGGACTGGAATATAATAAGTAACCCTCAGTATGAGTTTGGAATGCCCTACCCGACCCTCAGCTTGTATCTGAATGCATATGACTCCTTAGTATGAGTCTGGTATGCCCACCCGACCCTCAGCTCATATCTGGCATACTCCAGGGTTTGTTGGTCACCGCACGGAGCAGTGCAACCTCAACCCAACCACACAACATGTCGACTGAAATACAATTGATTAGCCCTCAGTACGAGTCTGGCATGCTCTTCCCGGCCCTTAGCTCGTATCTGGAATGCATATGAGTCCTCAGTATGAGTCTAGTATGCCCTCCCTGGCCCTCAGCTCATATCTGGCATACTCCATGGTTTGTTGGCCACTGCACGGAGCAGTGCAACCTCAACCCAACCACACAACATAACATGTCGACATATAACAAATAAGTACACATATAGATAATCACATAATATCACAGATAGTCTTATCGACCTACCAACTAGCATATCAAACTAGCATGCATAACTAACCCATACTCAATATATCAATAACAACTAGGATATAAATCTAATGGGCCGGCCTTGGTGCCTTAGACCCCTTAGTATAGTGAGGACAACTCAACTGACATTGTTGAAGTCCCGCGGATGAAACTCCAGCTGATGGTTGATAGGTTCTGAAACTGTCAACATCAAACAATACCGAATTAATAATTGTGTTCCAAGCCCAAGTTCCAACTCACACTCCAAAGGCCCAATAGCCAACCAATGGACCAAATCCCAACATATGGCCCAATTTTCCAAATTGGCCCCAACCCTCCACATGGGCCTTACCTTAAGGCCCAACCACCTATTCTGGTCCAAACACTTGGCATTCCAATGGTCCAATATCTCATAATCATAAATGCCCAATTATGGCCTAATTTTCCAAATTGGGCCCAAGTCCCTCACATGGGCCTTACCCTAAAGGCCATCCAAATATTTTAGTCCATTTACTTGTTCTTGGATAGCCCACCAGTAGCCCAATCACCAAATCCCAATAGAAAGGCCCAACTCAAAGCCCAAGTGAAATTAGGGTTTCCACATGAAATGACGATTAGGGTTAAGTGTTCCTACTTAACCCACTAAGGACTTAATCCATTAAGTCCAATATTGCCTTAAGTTAATTGAAAATGATTATTAATTAACATTTTCAGTCTAATAAATAATTCCAGTGTGGGTCCCCATAAATCCCCAAAATTAGGGTTTCATGACATTAGGGTTTTCCAAATCCTAATTAGGGTTTCCAACCCAAATACTAGCCCACTAGTCAAATGGATAGGCTTTTAGGTCAATTAGGGCTTCATTGGGCCCATTTGGGTTAAACAAGTCGGGCACCACCGACTACCACCTCGGGTAGTGGTGGTCAACGGCGGCTCACGGCAGCGGCCACCACCTCATGGTGGTTGTAATGATTTTAGGATAAATGTGTCCAAGCATCTAACTAACAATCCAAACACACAATGCACACCGCCACCCAACACGATGGCTGGTAGCGGCAGCCACCACCCCACGGTGGTGGTTATGGGTTTTTCCTTGATTATTCCGGCCATACAATACATTTTACATCGAAATATCTGAATAAACACACACACACACACATAAAAATAACACACACACACAGCCGCGTTGTGGTGGCAGGCGGTGGTCGGAGGTGCTAGCCACCACCTCACGGTGGTGGTGGTGGCTCTCTTGTGATTTCCGGTCATGCATCACACACCCACACTCTTCTATTCGCAAATGAGTCCAGCCACCCACCTGGCGGCATACGACGGCGGCAGCGGCACGGAAGAGCGGGCAGCATCAGAGTTTACGGTGGCAACCACCATGGTTGGCCACCATGGTGGTTCTTGACGGGGTTTCTCTGGCCAAACGACCTTCCACAGTCAAACAGCAACCACAATACGCACACACGAACGATCAGAACACATCGAGCTGCTGCAGTTGATTCATGGCGGTGGGCGACGGCGTGGTGACGATGAATAACAGGCAACAGCAGCGGTATCGGCGGAAGTTGACGTTGGGACGCAACAACATGAGAGATGGGAGAAGGGAACGAACGGGAACCATGTCGAACAACAACGTCATAAACAACCCCGCACGTTCGATCTTTCCGGCTGACTCACGTCGGCAGTACAGCAGCGGTAGCAAGCTTCGTCGGCAACAATGGGAGGAGGTGGCGACGAAGACTGGAGGGCAATCTAACGAGCAAATGGGACCAAAAACGCACGCAACTTCGTTTTCCCGGTGTTAGGATGAGCACGAGGTGATTGGCTCTGGTGGTTTGTGACCTCAACCGAGGTGGTTGCGGCTGGAAGTTAGGAAGGTGGCGGCTGCAACATAAACTAGGTTTAGAGCTACTATCATTTGGCTCCCCGAAACCAACACCCCGCTAAATATTATGAGTTTTAGGGCTACTATTCGCTTATAGATTTTTATCCATTTATTTATTTAATAAACGGGATGTTACAACTCTCCCCTACTTAAATTAGATTTCGTCCTCGAAATCATTCTTTATCATTTCTTACACGCCAGACAACTTGAGCTACGTGGCCACAACTACAAGCATACCCCAGCCTTTCCAAGGCAACCATATCCAACCCTTGCACGGTTCTGAAACTTGATGATAAACAAATTCATTGCAATATGATCACATTTACTCAATTCGAAATCTGAAGTCTCGAGATGGTCTAGCTCCCTGACAGACCACCCACACTGGATCATTGTCGAATTCATTGTACTTAACTTCTAACTGGCTACTCAACTTCTGATAACCTGAGGTTCCCACCTGAAAACAGAATCACAAATCACACACTGCTACCTATAATTCTTTTCTTGACAAGAGATTAGGTACTCTTTCAAGAGAAACTCGTTTTGATAACCAGTTCCTAGGGGTATAATGAAAACGGGATGTAAACTGGGAGATGAACCCTTTTAGGGTTGGCAAGACAATGATTCCTTTAGCTCCCGAACCACATACATATAACGACCATCTAACAAGCATGAACACTCATTCCTGGCCCATTCAGCCTCGGGATGGAATACCAGGCATTCCTACGACGGGTCCAGTCATCCTTCGGATGGAATACCCTCATATCATGTACATGTTTGCCCCAACCAACCCTCGGGTTGGAATACCAAACACGTCAGGTCCAATCAATCATAGGGTCCGGTCATCCTTGGGATGGAATACCCTAGATCGGAATACCACTATATCCTAAACTCGGGTGTAAACTCATAGTCTTGAGGTTCGAGGACCTACCCTTGTATTTCACACAAAATCTTCTGATTCCTCGCAACCGATTACGGCTCGCCCGAACCTCAACAATGTGTCCATTCCAAAAGCGCTCTAGCTGGAGAAATGAACTACTAAGATCACTAGGCCCACAACCTATGATTGGAATACCCCTACATGGTCCTCAGCATAGGTATGGATTGCCTCTGAGCCAACAACATGAGTCTGGTATGCCTTACCTGGCCCTTAGCTCATGACTGGAATGCTCCCGATAAACTATCAACATTGCCCAAAAGAAAAGGCCTAACCAACGTCCTTCACAACATCAACCAATGCCACGATGCTGAAACCCCACCATGCACGATTCACTTATAAAATAAGTTGCTACCAAAGCAAAATCCTATAAAACCATGGTCGCACATGACCCTAGAATAGGATGATAGTTGAACTCTAGATTCAATTGCAAACTATAACCCAGACCTGACCATGCACGTAAGCCGAACCAACCCTAATGCCACCTTGAACACCCACAGATACACGTGAATAATCACCACCATGCACATACTTGGGAATCCCTAACCTCATATTTGATCGCCACAAAGCCCACACTTGATCGAGACTGATCCGATTCTACTAATATAAAACTAGTCCGAGAAGACTTCCACAATTATCCCGAAGGTTACCGAAACCCGAGTCTGATACGAATCAAAATTCTGTTCCATCATCGAGGGGAAACATACCCCGAAGACTTAGGAAACATAAACACACTGCACAAGGGAATTGGTGACGCGTTCCTAGCTTCTCAAATGTCTCCTCTTGAATTACTTCGAAGAATTTCTGCTTCCTGAGAGGTTCACCGATTAACGCCCGTCCTACCATTCTGGAAACCGCAACCAGAACAGCAACAGACAAAACCTTCAATGGATGACGCTCAACCTGAGAATTCTCATTTCTCCCCCATTTAGAACACTAACCACCACCCACTAGTGTGAAACCCAAACATAACGTAACCGTACCAACTAGGGATGAGATTTAGAACAGGAAACCGGACCGGAACCGAAACCGTTAGAACCAGAATATATAGAACCGGTTCCGGTTTCAGGTTTAAAAATTAGATTTATCCGGGTTCCGGGTAATCTGGGTTTGGGTCCATCAGGTCCGGGTAAACTGGGTCGAAAAAATGGAACCGATGTGAGGAATCGGAACCACTTTTAGGGTCGGAACCGGTTTTTGTGAAACGTTTAAAAGATGCCAATCTCATTCGTTTCAACTCTGA